CCTGTGTCACAGCAGATTAAGTTGAATCCAGGCCTGTCCCAATCAAGAAATTTTTAGCTGACAATTAATTGTCATATAAATAATGAAAATTTACAATTTACTTCTCACCTCACAGCAAGAAGGGCCTGGGTTTAATTCTCCAGCTGGGCGATCAGGGTCCTTTCTGTGCTAAGACTGCATGTTCTCCCCATGTTTGCGTGGGTTTCCTCCAGGTGCTCTCGGTTCCTCTCACAGTCCAAAGACATGCAGTCAGGCCATTTGGAGATACTACACTGCCCCTAGGTGTGTGTATGTGTGTGTGTGTGTGTGTGTGTGTGTGTGTGTGTGTGTGTGTGTGTGTGTGTGTGTGTGTGTGTGTGAGATCCATGGCCCAGGAGGATAAGAGGCTCAGATGATGAGTGAGTGAATTTTACTTGTCTTGTTCTCTGTTTGCAACTATTAACATACAAGCTTTAACATAATTCTGTGTAACTGTAGACATTTATGTGTGTTTGTTAGCCAGTGTTAGCTACTAAGTAGCTACTTTGGCTTGCATCTAGCTTTGCTTAACTCTGTGTGTTCTTTACGACAACGAAAATATAAAACACTATAGATAATAAATAAACAAACATTCCTCAGTACTGCCCTCTAAACACGTTAGAGCATAAAGTCAGGAGTTAGAACTTTTCCTTTTTGCTAATTCCCATGATGCCTCAAAGAATCCACTTACTCCTTCCTTTAATTTACATTTATTTGCATTTAACTTGCATTGATTTAGAATGCTCAGTTCAGTTGCTTAGTGGATAGACAACAATTTTAGACTACAGAAGGCTCAAATGCACTAGACTACACATCACCACTCCAGCATAATCTACAGCATAAGTTAGGCATGTGACAATGTATTCTTCTAATAGTCACAACAGACTTCAGTAGCAGTCAAAGTACTGTATAATCATGCATATTTAGTTACTGGGCAGGTGCAGTGACTCCTATTTGTAGCTCCAATCATATGGCACAGGTACTAAAATAACTGGAGAAATCAGCTCCATAAATAGCACGCATTTTCCCTTTTTAATACTGTTATCAATAGATTAATAGCAGTTGGTACAGTGGGGCTTCTAATGTGATCAGCAACGAATTTTTTTGCAATGAGTCAGTTTCTGTTCATTAAAAAAAACTTTTCCCACACTAAAATACACTGACAAGTTATTTTTAATCACTATCATTTTACCATCTGGTGTGTAAAAGTAGTACGCAGTATTTAGTAGTAGTATGAACAGCCAAATGCCATTCAGCAGACAGCTTTTATTTTAATGACTAATCACAGTCTGCAAAACTGAAACTTTATACAAGTAAATGGAATATTTCTGTTTAAAACAAATCCAGGCAGATTTAGCCCAGGGGTGTAGCCACAGGCAGGCCTACTCGGACTGATCACAGGCCTAACCCAACCAAATTGGGACAGAATACTGATTAAGCCGAATTTTTTTAAATAATGCTATTTGATTTGTTTTCTGTAAGCAGTGTCACTGTATCATGAACAATCAAATCATTACACTCTCCACCCGGCTCCACATTATTTTCTCAGCCCTCCAATCACTTCACAGCAGCAATTGCTATCCGCCGTTGCCTTGAGCCTTCAGTTCATCATCAGCGTGCCAGTGTTTCAATTTGAAGCTGCCAGTTGCAGTTAAAAGATGTAACTGAGGATGCTGAAAACTGAGATTCCGTCCGATAGAGCATGTAGTTTACTACACATTCAAAGTCAAAAGAAAAACTGTCAGTTTTCTGTCATTGTCAGATGTACTACAAAGGCCAAAATGAGATTTGCTAAAATGTCAAAGCAAACATTAACATTAATGTTACTTCAATAAATCAAAAGTAAGAGATGAATGGACTTTTTTCATGCCTGCCGATGATTAGGTTTAAGTTTTTAAGTTTGCTGTGTTGTTTGTCCTCATCTTCGCACATCTCAGCTCTCTGATAGGCCAGAAGCATTGAAATAGATAGGGTGACTGCACAGCTGTCAGAAATAGGCTACGGTCCGATGTAATGACACTGCGGGACATTAACACATTTGGAAATTGTATCTACCAAACTGGCTTGCCCAATTTTTCACAGGCCTACCCGAAAATGTATGTCTGCCTAAGCCACTGACGTTTTGCATGCATCAGCATCAATGAGAGATGCACGACTCCAGCTTTTCTGGAGTCAACTCAGAGTCTCGACCCCTGCCACTGGAGTTGACAGAAACACTCCTCGACTCCACTTACTTTTAACCAAGATAGTGCCTGAGCTAGCAACAATGAGATATGGCAGCATTTATTGGAGTTGATACAGATCATCCTGACATGAAAAAAAAATTGCATTAACATGAACTCATTCCATATGAGATTTGCCTCAGTTGCATCCTAGCCTGCATCATTAAATATACGCATAAAATCACATACAAAAAATAATCAGGTAGCATGACAAATGATTACAGCTGATCAATCCTCAATAGTTAACATATCTTCCCATCAGATAGCCATTTTCATTTGACGAAGCACTGCTGAAGGGGGACTGCACGCCATAGTTCGGGCAGGCTACTTGACGAGGGGAAATTTTTGGTTTTCATTCTTTGTACCATTTCTAATCTTTGTTTATTGCAATGCCAATCATAGAAATTATGAAGCGGTTGGTTTTCTGTAGCATATGTCTGGGTGCAGACCAGCGCAGATACCCACTTTTTTGTGACCAGAGTTTGTGCTTGCAGAGGCTGGTAAGCAGCGTATGGCATAAAGCCTGGTAATTAAATAAACTCATGCTACTCAAACTCTTTCTTCCATTATACTCGCCTGTCAAAATGTCCCTCGAGCTAATCTCGGAGTCAATAGAAGCAAAGAGTCGACTCCAAGCATTTCGACTCTCACAATTGTTCGCCAAGAGGCGACCCAGTCTGCCAGACGCGAGTCGAAGAATCAACTTGTTCAAGAAACGGCCTATAAATTGCTTCTTGTTAATATAATAAGAGCTTAACCATGTGAGGTAGCTTTACGTCTACTCTTATTGTAACTATGTGTTGTCTTGTTTGCTATTAATACCTGATGTAATTACAACGTACAAGCCTTCTTTTAAGCCCCTGTTCATGTTGCAAGAGGGAAGCCCATTCCATGCGTGCAAGCCTGCTGCAAGGCTTTATCAGTTTAACAAGCAAGATTACGGTTGAGGGGACAAAAAAGACCTACCTCACACTGTTATTGAGAGTTCTGGAGCCATATCTGAATGTTCAAACGCCAGATCAAACCAGGGCTGATTCAGAATCTGGACTAACAGTACTAATTAAAAGAAAACTTGTTAAAAGAAAACAGACCAAGAGACAATGTTTCACTTTTGTCCACATTCAAGCTGTGATGGTGTGATGTCAGATATCTAAGTCATCCAACTTGATCGACAACTGTGATAGATGGAAACTCTCAACAACTAGCGGTACCATCATAAACTGATTAGCTTGTCACTAATTGTTCCACCTGCTCCAACACCAGAGTCAATTCAACGGCTAAATATACAACAATTAGGTCCAAAGGCACAATCTGATTGTTTGAGAAACATTCTATTTGTGATAACAGCAAGTTTTTTTTCTTTTCAAAACTACTATATCATTCTGCTGAGCACAAGTTGCTAGTTACAACTTGCTTTCCGCTGCAGCTAACCGTACTATACAGTTCTGAAGTATGTCATTTCATGCACAGCCTAATTTCTACTTCAGCAAATACAAAAACAGAAAAAAAGATACATTACATAAATTGTACAAGATAATATTTGACCTGCAATCCATTTGGTGAGATTCTGAAGAACAACAGGACTACATTAAATTCCGAATCTGTTGTTGCCCCTCAAGAAGCTTTTTGACTCTCAGAGTGGTGGGCCAAGAGTCAACCCTGACTCTCGGATGCGAGTCAAAGAATCTATTTATTTGGAGTCGATTCCCTATCACCAGCATTAATCTCGGCAGACGAGCACAAATAAATGTCACAAGCCAAGAATTCCCATATTGCTGCATCCTGTCTGAGTATGCACACAGTAGCTGGAAAATGCAGCTCTTTCCACACATCTGTTTTAGGGGGGAACATTTTCTTCTACAATTGTCCCATTTTCCACACTATACAATTATTGCCTTAACAGTCAGGCCAATACGTTGGACCCTATTTACAAGGGCAAGTTTCAAGCCAACATTTTTCATGCAGACCATGACCAGTGTGCTGCAAAAAAAGGCTCCGGGGCTTTTCAACTCTTGATTGGAATAGAGCAGGTTGACAAGTGGTTATTTCTTGATTGGGCGGGAGCACGTTCTAGCTCAAAAAGAATGATATTTACAAAAGTTGTATGTGTCAAATCAAGTCTGATTATCATAAATGCTAATGAAGCATTTTGAAAAATGTCTGTAGAACATCTTAAATAACATTTTAAATGAAGAATATTTCTCACCATGCCCAAGGGCTTCACATAGCTCCAAATATTTTGCAAATAAAATCGCTAATGATGGACATGGCTTACAGTCAATAATCTATTTGCGCTTCGAGGGTTTAAAGCGGTCTCCTCGAAGCCTTGTCAAAACGCAGCCAATTAGCTTATAAGTGATGCCAATATGTGATTACATTAATGTGAACTTGGGGTGAAAACAATTTTGCTGACCCAATTTGGATGAAAACTGCTTCATGTACTGCAAATCATCAGAGTAGTGTATAATTCTGAAATGTAGCCATTATTTTTTAATGATACTATTGCAGTGGTTTATTGTTTTATACTAATAAGGTGTATTTGGGTGTATATAGCTCCAGCGTGTCAAAATTGGCTGACATTTCAGGTTTCTTGTGATCATCTAAACATAAGGTTGCACTGCCTTATAAACTAAATCCATACTTGACCATTAATCAGGTCTGCAAGGCAACATATTTTGCCCTCACATTAAGCATACAGGATAGGTAGAGCCAGAATGACTAATGCTAAACAAACTCCACTCAGGGAGGTGGGTTTCATACCGGTCTATAAGGGTCCCAAACAGCAGTCTGATGCTCTTCTGGATATTCTCAGTGCACAGCCAACTCCACTGCTCCTTCACCAGCAGACACAGGACGTTCAGAGCCATGTCAGCAAGTACTGTCTCCCCTATTGAACATAAGGTATATGCGCTCAAAATGGGAAAAATACAACGATCAGGTATAACATTATGACCACTTCCTTGTTTCTACGCTCATTGTCCATTTTATCAGTTCCACTTACTATATAGGTGCACTTTGTAGTTCTACAATTACAGACTGTAGTCCATCTGTTTCTCTGCGTACTTCGTTAGCCCCATTTTACCCTGTTCTTCAGTGGTCAGCACCCCCCATGGACCCTCACAGAGCAGGTACTATTTAGGTGGTGGATCGTTCTCGGCAATGCAGTAACACTGACGTGATGGTGGTGTGTTAGTGTGTTTTGTGCTGGTATGAGTGGATCAGACACAGCAGTGCTGCTGGAATTTTTAAACACTGCGTCCACTCACTGTCCACTCTATTAGACGCACCTGCATTGTTGGTCCATCCCTGTAGGTGTAGAGCCATGGACGATAGCTTATCTCTTGCTGTACAGTATGAGCTAATCAACCTCTAGTCCTTCATCAGTGGTCACAGGACGTTGCCCACAGGACACTGTTGACTGGATATTTTGGCAAATGTACTATTTCCAGTCCAGAAGCAGGTGTTTAAAAACTCCAGCAGCACTGCTGTGTCTGATCCACTCGCACCAGCACAACACACACTAACACACCACCACCACGTCAGTGTTACTGCAGTGCTGAGAATGATCCACCATCCAAATAGTACCTGCTCTGTCAGGATCCATGGGGGTCCTGACCACTAAAGGACACGGTAAAAGGGGGCTAACAAAGTATGCAGAGAAACAGATGGACTACAGTCTGTAATTGTAGAACTACAAAGTGCACCTTTGTAGTAAGTGGAGCTCATATATGTCATAATGTTATGCCTGATCGGTGTGTACATGATACGTATCATTTTACATTCTGCACAGCAGTACATCCAGGTAAGTAGGGGCTATTAAGCTGTAATAAAAGAGTTGGACATTAATGTGCATGTATGTGGAAGCATATCATGACATTATTTATTATGATAAACAATATATTACTGCCACGTCGCCCATGCCTACTTGGTTCTGAAAGATTTCTTTGTTTGGAAGTATAAGCAATGATGCCATTGTACCCAAAAATGTAAGGCTGTTTTCACACCTAGTTTGTTTGCTAAAGTCCAGGTTTTTGTGACATTCTAATTTTTTCCATTTGGTTCGGTTGGTTTCTCACAGCAACAGCTAAAGTGCACTGAATACATGTGGGTGTTTGTTTATGGTCTGAAATTTTGCAGGCATAAAAGCGCTCAGTTATTCTCACATTTCTCACCATGAAAATATCTTTTTGATTGGTTTGTCAATTTGAATTTCACCAATCAGGACACCATGTGCCAAAATTAAATGCATATCTTTGATATTATTTTATTGATCACTTCATTAAGTCCTCCTCTACACTCATTGTCCATTTTATCAGCTCCACTTACCATGTAGGTTCACTTTGAAGTTCTATAATTACAGACTGTAGTCCATCTGTTTCTCTGCATACTTTGTTAACCCCCTTTTACCCTGTGCTTCAATGGTCAGGTCAGTTTTTAAACAACTCAGTGTCACTGCTGGACTGAGAATAGTCCACTAAACAAAAACGTCCTGTGGGCTGCTGATGAAGGACTAGAGGATGACCCAAACAAACTGTGTAGCAACAGATGAGCTACTGTCTCTGACATTTACAAGGTGGACCAACAATGAAGGAGTGGCTAATAGAGTGGGCAGTGAGGGGACACAGTGTTTAAAATCTCCAGCAGCACTGCTGTGTCTGATCTACTCGTACCAGCCCAGGACACACTAACACACCATCATCACGTCAGTGCTGAGAATGATCCACCACTCAAATAATACCTGCTCTGTGGTGGTCCTGGCCATTGAAGAACATGGTAAAAGGGGGCTAAAAAAGTATTCAGAGAAACAGATGGACTACAGTCTGTAACTGTAGAACTACAAAAAACATCTATATTGTAAATGGACTGATTAAATGGACAAAGAGTGTAGAAGTCCTTACTGAGTAGAAATGGGCCTGTCAGCACAGGGAAAACCCCTAAATAAGCCAAACAGGAGTACTCCATGATAAAGACTAACAATCACTGGTCTAAGCAGCTCTCTCAGACATAAAGTGGCCAGACAATACGATCAAGACTACAGTTTGCCCTCTGTTCACCAGTAAAAACACCAGATAGCAGTACAGATGCATTCAAATGAATGAGATTCAGATTCAGTACTGTACTATAAACTTATTATGTGGCATCACTTGGCTGGGTGGTCACTAAGGAGGCAATTCAGGGCACTGGCAGCCTTAGTTTAAACAAATGATGTGGTGGCAAGCTTCATATTCTAGAGGAGGCATCATCTAGTCTTTCACAGTTTGGCAATGCTGTGATATGACTGGGGAGACATGCATTACAGTGGAATTTAGCCATGACAAAACTGTAAAAATATAAAGAAATTAATTTTAAAATATGTCTAAAATGTATATACAGAATAAACAGCTTTACATTTACATTGTACCAATTAGTAAGGCTGACAAGCACTCATTTTTTTTAATATGCTGCCCTCTACTGGCAGGACAAATCTATTACACATCAGTTCCCCTCTCCTTCATACATCTGCATCAAAGCTGTGACTAGACTTCTATAATTCTGTACACCATAAAAAAGAAGTCTCTCAAGGGTTCTTTAGTAAGGCAATTGTATGCATAAAGCCGTGACAACCATCTGAATGCTTAAATAGGTCTTGTTTATGATGGAGAACCTGTTGTATAAGGTTCTTTAAAGACCCTTTTGAAAAATTAGTTTGGAAATATAGTGTATTTCAATACTGAAACTGTGAAACTAAAGAAAACAATTTAGCACACTGTAATTATTTGGTGATCATAAATGCATCATCCCAGCTGATCCCTACTGGTTTTCATTCTGTTGTAGCACAGGTAGGATGTTAAGATGATATATGACTACATCTAATGACTTACCTTGGTCTTGTACAACTACATTCTGTTGCTTTCTTTTTGCACATGCACAGGGCTCTGAATCCCCCTTGGCACCAAGGTTGACATCTTGCTCCCCATCTGCATCTTTGATCAGTGCCTTATTCTCAAGATTCCCCTGCTCCGACATGACGCTCTCTAGATTGTGCAAGTTGAGGCCATTAAAAACCTGAAATAAGAGCACCTGGATTTTAGACACAGGACCAGTTTTGTAGAACAACATAAAAACAAATACAGTGAGAAAGTAATTGGCTGCAACCTTCCTGTACCTGATATGTACTTATTTGTAGTGCTTTCCTACTACAAGCCCAGCATTTGCTTTGCCAGTTTACAAGATAATTCAGGCCTTGCAAAAACAGCTAATAACAGATGCCACTAGATGAAGACTACTGTACTTACAGTGTTGCACTCATTGAAGCAGTAAAGCACTTTGGGTCTCATGTCAGACACGTTAATAGCAGGAGCGATTTTACTGGAGAAGCGCATCCTTGGCCTGAAATAAACAGAGACAGAGGCAGCTCAGAACTGGCAGCACTTTGGCACGGGCGATATGGCAAAAATATACACGATCATAATGATACATTTTTCACAACATATCATACTGTCCTCCTCTGCACTGAATACTATGCAGTTCACAACCATTCTAATAATTACGCTCTTAAAACAAAATTCCCATACTTATTTTTCTTGTCAGAAGGTAATTTTCCCATCAGGCTCAGCATCCACCTCATCAGTGGGGCTCTGTGGCTCTGAGCGGGGGAAGGCTGTTTTCAGGGTGTCCACGATAACATTCACCACAATCTGCCAAATCACAAAGAACACACTCCCGTTCAGACCTGACTGAGAAGGGGGCATATTATGCTGTTATGCTCATGTCCAATGTTCAGAATTTTATCTTTGGGGTCTACAAGAACAGTTTTGGAAAGCATTAATGTTCCAAAAACACATTATTTTGCTCATTCTGTACATTTCTGTTCTGTAAAGGGAAAAATCGGAAAAGCATAACAGGTCCCTTTTAAAATTACTGTGAAGTTGTGATCTGGTAGAAGAGATTAGAGGAGGACTGAGTGGTAAGACCCATTACATATTATTGCTGTCCACTAACAAAACAAAACAAAACAACAACAAAAAGTATTTCTAGTTCATTTTCATGATGAATGAACCAACAGAAATGCTCTAAAACTTCTTGGAATGAACCTCTTTACTTTAACTTGATTAAAAGTAAAGAGCGTTTTTGGCCTCTCCTGTAAAGTTACCATTTTGGACAATATATTATATGCATGTTTTTGTTTCTATGCGTAGTGGAGAAAATGACTAGAAAATATCTAAACTTTGTCCTCATCCTTGTTTGTATAGAAAAACCCAACAATCAAACTACTAATAAAAATGTACACATTTACATTTATCTATGTGAACTGAAATCTGTGTCTCCTTTCTAACTAGTGAATCTCGCTCTCGCGGGCACACAGTGTACAGTGTACATACAAAGTATGCGCTTTGAATACCTTTCCAATGATCAATCAAGGGCCGACGAATTTTGCCAAGATTCTACATGATCTAAGGGGCAGAGCTAATCTTGGGTCACACGTATGTACATGGTGTCGTTACCAATCACAAGGCTGATGTGGGCTGTCCCACCAACATATGTTTAGCAAAACTGTGTTCCCCAGTGTTCTTATTCTCTCTGTTTAAGTCTGAGAAACCTTGTGAGAGAGAGCTAATGACAAACAAAAGCTAGCCTAGCAAGCATAACTAAGCTAGCAAGAATGTCAATTCATCAGTTCTGTCGGTCAACCAGCCATGCCAGCCTTCCCTAAATGCACACCCAGCATTATATAAGGATATTAGGATATTAGGGCCATGCACAGTCAGTTCTCAGAAAGGTGTGATAAGTGGTTTCAAGCTGTTTTATTATATTTCTGTCTTTTTTTCCATTCAAACATTGCTGGATGTTTAATATAACACTCAATTTTGGTATCATACAAATATTTTGGATAATGTATACTATGTTCTCTTGGGACTTTACAAAACCTACAGTAAATAAAAACATTAAAAGTACCTTGTCTATGCGTGAAACAATACATGGCTTCTTCACGAAAGCAATTCTTGCATCAGTGTTCAGGGCGAGAAACTCTTGCATTTCCTCACTGTTGGCAGTTTCAGGAATGGCACAAAGTTGCTGCAAAACACAGCATCAAAACATAAATCCACACCTAAAGTCAACGTGAATCAGAAATCATAACACATTTTCCTACTGTACTGACCTAATTTTGAGCTAAACACAGCATCATGGAGGGTCTCTGAGCTAGCTGAGCGTTTTTGCTTGATAGGTGAGGGTGGTGGAAGTGGAAGGTGAAACATGATATTACTGGTTAATATTACTTTTTCCTGCGCACTGGTGAACAGTGACGTAATAAAAAAAAACAGAAGATGTTTTAGAGGCAGGCAAAAGCCCTTAGATTTTAATAAAAGGTTACAGGAAAAGAAGAATTTTGTATTTTAAATAAAATGGTCTGAGATGAGTTATGCTTAAATTGGAGACCCATCAATTTTTCAAAATTTCTGCTTAATTAAATTATGAAGAAGCAAAACAAAGTAATTCAGAGTGGTTTGATGTGGAAAGCTCTGTTTTATTCACAATGAATAGAATTATTCACAATGGTCATGATAGGAACCAGGCATCTGAAGCGGTTAATGCCTCTGAAAGGTCCATCACAAAAAGCTAGCACATGAAATGGCTATGAGTACTTTCCAAAATTCCTGAGGATGCATCTTATAATAATTTTGAGAAATTACTTGGGCCTAAAACATTTATTTTTTTAATCCGTTCAAGGCAAAGAGGTACATGATGGGTGTTGTAAGGTAAAATAATCCCCAAAGAGACACATTTTTTCAGATTTACAACTATTATACCTTAAATCAAATTAACATGTCAAACCTCAGAAGACAAGAGTAGGTTGACTAGTCATTCTGAATAGTAAATAAAATCTTGTTGTTGTAGACATCGTGAGTCCTGGTTCCTATCACCACAACTGTAAACCAATCTGAGTCAGTAAGTTTCTCTACTATGAACCACTTCACATTAAACCACTCTGCATGACTTTGTTTACATCTCAACTACTGAATTATGCTGACAATTTGAATCACTGGTGGATTTTGAAAATTTGGATTTCAGGTTGACACAGACTGTGTGCACTTTACAGTATATCAATAAGTACAGTATGATCGGTCACTGACAGCTTACCTTAAGGAATGTTTCCAACAAACTTTTTCTGGCCTCAACTTTGTCACTGTCCATGTTTCCAAAAGGGAGGTCAGGAAAGATTTTCTTGGGTCCTTTGACATCTAAAATGACAACTATATAAGTAAAGACCCACAACTGTACAACACAAAAGTAAGCACTTTATCGTGACGCTGTAATCCAGCAGAACTCACGTTTTAGGATTTTGCGTAATTCAGGTTTCTCCTCCAAACGTGTCTGTAGGTTCAGAAATTCACTGTAGCGACGACTGACTGTGTGATAAGCCACTGGCTGCAATGTGCCTGGGTTCTCAGAGTCCATAGCAGTTTCATACTGCAAAACATCACCAAAAAAAAACAAAGATGTGATAACGCATAGAGCATAGACAATGCAAAATGGAGGTAGAGTCTCACTGTGTAAAAAAAAATAATAATAAAAAATGCAAAAACTCCAGTTGTGTGCTAGCTTGTTGCATTAGTATATACTGAATATAATAAAGTTCACTCATTTAAATATAGGCACCTGCATATCTACATATGCCTTTTGAGGGTCCTCTCATATGTCTGATTCATCCAATAACACTGAAAATCTTGACCGAAAAACCAAAGGAGGTAAAATCAGGACGAGGATGTATGATTAGACTCCACACTGTTTAATCGGTGCCTGGCCACTTCCTATTTCTCCCACTATACCAAAACACGACTGCAAAACTCCAGAGAGCATCCACGAGCAAGTGCTTAATGAATAGGGTGAAGGGAGCTAAACAGCTAAAAATGAAAAGTTAAAATAGTTTCTAACCACATGTCCAGGACCTTCTTTTAATTTTGGGAAGTAGAAGGATGTATTACATTCTATTCCACAAAAGTAAAGAAAACTTGTAGATTTACTTTTTTCCACAGAAAAAAGGTTTTGGTTGGGCAGTAAGATGGTAGCAACACTGCTACCAAGTGCTGATTGGTTGTCATTACTCCTACCGAATGCTGATTGGTTGGCATTACTGCTACCGAGTGCTAACAGGTTAGCTTCATTGCTACTGAGAGCTGATTGGTTAGCATTACTGCTACCAAGTGTTGATTGGTTAGTATTACTGCTACCCAGCTGACTGGTTTGCATTACTGCTACTATGTGCTGATAGGTTAGCTTTATTGCTACTGAGAGCTGATTGGCTGGTGAGCTGATCAGCTCATTGGCTGAGTGAAGGGTTCACATTCACTGATGTCATAAATGTACATCAGACAGTGTTAGAAAGGAAAACTGCAAACAGAGCTCTGTCTCAGTTCAAGAGGTTTAGATATTTATTGACTGTGTTTAGTCTGAGTGTAAGTTGTGGGTTTTCAAAGCTTCATCTGAAAGACTCTCGCACAGAGCTGTAGATACTTACTATCAGCTCCCACACAAGTGAAGCCCAGTGCTACGCATTCACTGCTGTATTTCCTTTGTTTTAGTTATGCATGCACTGAAAATATAAACATAACTAGCTAACATTTCATCAGAACAATCAATAAACTTGACATAAATACAATGTTTTATTTTTGCAAATAATCAACAAGATTTATCATACTTAAAATTACATTTGGTTAAATGTTTGTATTGTAATCAATTTTTGCATTTAAAAAAACTGCAGTACCACTACAGCCGACTGCATACATGTTAAATACCACTGTTGTAAGTGTTTAAATAAAATCAATCGGTATCGAGCAGTATTTGTTTGCTTTATACTCATTGATTTCAAACTGTGAAACATTCTGAGAGCAGATCATACTGTTATTATTGCTTACTTTATTATTACTACTTTCTTATTACTAATACTACTAATATTGCAAAAATGACTTTATGACTTATTCAACTAAACCAAACAATTTTTTTTATATATATTAAAAATGAATGTTCTTTTTAAAGGCCTTTGTTGTGGAAACATGTTGAGATTTATATCATTAATCAGACACTGATCTAGCCTTTTCAATTCCAAAAAGATTTCTCCCAAAATTACTGATGACTTACAGCAAAGCTAAAGTAGATTTGGTAGGCTTTTGATAGACAGGTTCAGCAGAGGAAAACTCACCTTCACAGTGTAAAGAGTGTACGGGTGTGATCCGGTTCCTCTGTGCTCCTTTGCTGTGATGGTACCTGTGATGCGAAGGTTTTGAATAACAACTGGGCCCTCGGGACTACTGAGGGGTTCAAAGGCGAAAGGAGAAAGCGGCATGGCTCCACCTGAAGGTGAGGAGGCTTGCAGAGATTCCGTTAGAGGAAGCTCACTGGGATTCAACGTCCCTGACTGCTCAACACCTGTCAGCCCCAGGTCCACTTTGGTGTTGCTCTTCTCAAGGTCCTGGAGAGCACAAAAGCTGGACGATAATTCTTCTTCCCCTTCAGCGGTATCGGAAGGCTGTTCTTTTATCTCTGAGACCACCACCTTAGGGCAGGTGGTCTCTGCCGCGTTAGAATAGACACGGAACTCATCCTCCAGGTCCAGCACACCATCTATCGGTGTCTGGCACTCTGCAGGTCTTTCTGACATTGCTTCCTCCGGGCCTATCAGAACGAGTGACTCTAAAGAGCTTCTTTTAAAATCATTCAGAGGAGACTCCAAGTCAGAGTCGGTTTCTTGAAAGAAAGGGTTGGATTTCCCAAGTCTCTGATAATCCTTCAAACTAAAACCTGGATTCACTGAAGAAAACGACTCGACCGGTCTTGCTTCTTCCTCCTCCAGGTTCTGTGGACAGTAAAGCTCCGCAGAGTCAATGACATCGTAAGCAGCCAATTCTGGCATGTCAGTCACAGAAGGGGTATCAGGCTTGGCTTTCACAGGTAAAGCAGAAGGAACCTCAAGGTCCTGTTGTGAGGTCTCTTGACTTAAAACCACTGGGGGTGGAGGAATTCTCACTGATTCTGCTTGGACTGGTCTGGATTGTGGCTTACTGGTAGACACGTCCACAATCAACATGTTTAACCAGTCTGGATCGGACAGTTTGGCAATTAAAGGCAGAAGAACTTTGCACGTTATAAGTTCACACACTACAAATCTCCCTGTCCTGGTTTCCAGATGTGGTGGAGGCACAAGAACGTGTAAAAGCAAATCCACAATCGCTCTTGCATAATTTACTTCTATGGCAGGACTCTGAAGAGCTGGATGAGGTGTGCAAGTCGTGCTGTACGCTTGCCATAAACGATCATTAGCGCTTCTTCTGCCTTCTTCTTTGTCCTTCTTTCCAGCCATGATTTCTTTGGCTCTTAAGTAGCACTGGAGATGGCATCCACAAAGATCCAACGTCCTCAGCGTTAAAGCTTTCCTGTCCACTTTCTTCGCCCGGCGCTTGAGCTCCATCGCCATAGAAATCATGGCATTGTGTACCTCCTCCTCAAATTCACGCTCTGAGGACACTGTATTGTACCATGAAGAGACAAAGTCTCGTATGATCTTGCTAACTGTATTCTGAATCTCGTGGTCCAGCTCCAGCTCACTCTCAGCATTAGACTGGATCTTCTCCAGTGCAACGAAACGCTCAAGATGAACCACACTTTCGGAGTCGAGGACAGCCTGAGACCCAAGCCAACCACCTATAACTACCAAGAGGCTGGTGAACACACAGAGAAGCCAAACATTCACCAGTAAGTGGAACAGGATCATCCAGGCCAGGAGCGCACCGAATCCAAGAAGTTTCCTTTGTACCATAAACTCAGCCATGCCCCGGGGGGATGTGCTAAGATGCTCCGGCTGAGACATGGCAGAGGCAAGAGTCTGTAAAGTGAAAATAACAATAATTTACAATAAGACATCTGGGTAGTTAGTCCAAGGTTTCCTCTACATATGGCATCTACTATACGCATTTCTTTTCAGAATTTTCAGCTGTATGTTGAATTATACGAAAGGTTACACTAAATGGATGCTTAACCATCATGTAACACATTCAGTAATAATACTATTACTAAATAACAAACTGAATAACAATGTTTTATTGATTTCATATTGTTTTCATGTTTTTATCCATCCATGTTTCATCAAAATCGTAAAGAAGCTATTCTATCTTTCTTCAGCAAATAATGGAAGCTAGAGACAACCCTTTTTACCCTTCCAGCAAGAGGAAAGAAGCCAAATCGAGGTGAACTATCAATATAACTTTTGGCTTCCTGTCTGATGAGTCATTTCTGCCATTTGATTAATACTTTTTCTCAATAGTAATGAAAGCACTGCTGTGTCTGATCCTCTCATACAGGCACAACACACACTAACACACCACGACCAGGTCAGTGTTACTGCAGTGCTGAGAATGATCCCCCACCCAAATAGTACCTGCTCTGAAGAACAGGGTTAAAGGGGGCTAACAAAGTATACAGAGAAACAGACGGACTGCAGTCTGTAACTGTAGAACTACAAAGTGCTCCTATATGGTAAGCGGAGCTGATAAAATGGACAATGTAGATACAAGGAGGTGGTTTTAATGAAAAGGCCGGTCGGTGTATATTTGTATAAAGAAGGTATACAAAAAGGACCACTGAGGAACCGGTATAGATTTTTTTTACTCAGCCCTAGCCGTGCTTCAGAAGCAGTGAAGCATCCGTGAGGTAGAAAATAACAAGCGAAACGCCTTGAAGGTTTTAACACACAGCACCAACACAAATTTACGGAAATAAATCGTGAGCGGCCAGCGGTAGTCTGTGATAACAGGGACTGCAACGCTACATAGCGTAAAATGACAACTACAAAAAGACAGGTGAGGCGAATGAAGAATGAGGAAATAAGCGAGGCCTGGCTGTCACCGCGGTCTCAGCCGCTCTGGGCCGGTGCTCTCCTCAAAGCATCACGACCACCTCAACCATCATCACAGCGCGGCCGCGAGCGTCCGGAAACAAATCGCTCTAATATTAGCTAGCTTAAGTCACCAAATGACAAGAAAACAACGAGTCTGAAGTCTCCTATTCGCCGGCTTCTTTTTCGAATTGTCCCGTTCCACCTTAAATGTAGAACGTAACTGCTGCACCATTTAAGGTGGAACGGAAAGATTCGAAAACGAATCTGACTTCAGACTCGTGAGAAAATATTCATATGCAGCTGAGGCTGGTTTGCTGCACGGCGCAGCGGGTTAAGTGGCTCTACTTGGTCAGCAATTCTTGGTAAAGGCTAGGAAAACTTAAAACTGTGAAGTACACGGAACTGCACTGGCATCTCCTACCGTTTACCGTTCTTCACTCCTCAGGGATTATCGGTGGTTATTAGCAGGAAAACTAAAATGAACTGAAAGTCAGGTGCTGCTAACTTAGTCACCGATTTTCTCTTCGGCCATCTGTCATCGACACTCACCACGACTGAGTGACTAACTCAGCCAGCCGGGTACAGTACTAACTGACTCACATGTTCAGAAAGATACTGACCAAACAAACGCAGAGAGTTTACCTGGTTGCGCGAATGAAGAGGAGCTGTAATAAAGTTATGAGGAGGATAAATCAACTCCTCATTCTCCAAACATCACATCGGAAACGCCTACTGTCGTGTTTTGATGTGGCTTCTTCTTCAGCGCCTTCAGACAGAGCGGCTTGTCTTTCTTAACGCCACCTTCAGGTGTCTCAGCGAAATAACAACAGGGAACCCCTACGATCATTTACAGTGACTGTAACACTGAAGAGACCTACATTTTTCTTCTGTAGTTTCAGGGATTATACTTCTGTGATCATGACAACACATAGAGCTGATTCTACAGTACAATAATAAAGGGCAATTCCATCAATTTTTCAACATTTCTGCATAGTTCAATCACTGAGACGTAAACTATGCATGCATTCATGCTGTTCCGATGCGAGATGGTCCATTTGTAGAGAGAAGCTTACTGACTCTGATTTCTTTACAGTGGTGGTGATAGGAACCAGGGGTCACAATGTTCATAACACAAATAAAGCCACTTTATATGCATTTGTTTCAAATGAAGGAATTACATGAATTAAACTGAAACAAATGCATTTTAGGCCAATATGTCCGATTCCTATCATCACCGTGGACAATTTCTCTAGAACAGAGCATTTCACATCAAACTACTCTGAATGATGTTGTTTACATCTTAAGCACTTAATTATGCAGAAATTAAAAAATAAATGCTGGAATTCCCCTTTAAGGTCAAATTTAGACACCTAATTCTGTAGACCTTAAGGTTGCTCACTTCATCTTCTGATATTAAAACTCTGGCAGTAACTTATTATATGATTGGTGAAGCCAAAAACACCAGCACTTATACAAGACCTCTTTAATTAAATGAGGTATCCAGTTAGGAATTCTTGCTTCAGTTACAAAGGAGGTTTTGAAGAGTGGTGAAGAGAACCCCTGCAGAAGGTTGTGCAAACTCACCATTTCCAGATGCAGGCAAGGCAAACACTCTGGGGCCTATAGTGCTTGGGGGCCTGTGGAGACTGGGCCCCAGTACCTCTCTACTAGAGTCTTTTGCTCTTTGCATGTTGATGTATAGGAAGCTAAGATAATAATATTCGAACATCAGCCTACATTACAGCACCAACTTGTCTTTTTATTAATTAAAGGTCATTTGCATATGAGAGACTATTCTTTTTTTTTGCACACTGAGGTCCACAGAATCCTAGGAACAGCACTGCAATTGTCTATCAACATCCCAGTAAGTTGTACAGTCACTTGCCCATCTTCCTTCCGTTTGGAATAACAGTAGCTTCCTCACTGGAGGTTCATTAATTTTTACAGAAAAACCTCTGCATGGCATGCCCTTGTTTCCACCCTTGAGGACATTACTATCACAAACACCATCAAAGAACTATACCGGGTTCATATTTTAACTTCTTCCTTGATCGTCCTTCAGGGCCTATCATCATCTTCCGCCAGCAATCAGGCAGCAAACCAAAGTTCCTTCAGAGAGAGACCAAATCATCAGGTGGTAAGCAACCTTACTAACAGGTTCCAGTTCCTGGAAACAGTTCAAGGTATGTGAGATGGTTCAAAGATGTTTTAAAGGCATTGGGCCACTGTTAAAAATAAGGTGAAACAAAGTGAAACATTCTTCCACCAAATTATATAACTAAGAAAGAAAAAATGAAAGAAGGTATGAAGACTACCACTTTGAAGGAGTTAGAGGAGTTTTATTTTGGATGAATGCTATGGATTAATCAAGAAAACCTTGAGTAATGTTCGACTTCTTTAAAAAACACACTGAGTAGATTTTTTGGATGTGAAGCACCTCATGGTTAACGTCAAAGTGTGGAAATGTGGAAATGACCACAGGGAAAAAGAGTGACGCTTTGTATCAGTGACAATGTGAGCCGCTGTTTATTCATAATATAAAATATTTTCTCTCTGGAATTTGTTAAAATGGGCAATGTAAAATGGATATTGTTAAAATGGGGTGGAAAACATTTGGGTGGTCATTAGCCACCACAGTGTACACTATATGGAGAAAAGTATTGGGACACCTACACATTACACCTACAGGAGCTTTTATGACATCCCATTCTATTCAAAATGGAATTAATATGGAGTTGGTCCCCTTCACAGCTATAACAGTTTCCATTCTTCTAGGAATTTTTCTACAAAATTTTGCAGTGTGTCTGTGGGAGTATTTGTCCATTCATCCAGAAGAGCATCTGTGAGGTCAGATACTGATGTGGACGAGAGGGCCTGGCTCGCAGTCTCTGTTCTAGTTCATCTCAAAGGTGCTTGATGGGGTTGAGGTCAGGGCTCTGTGTGGGCCAGTCACGTTCTTTCACACCAAACTCACCCAGCCATCCCTTTATGGACTGGGGCACAGTCATGCTGGAACAGTAAAGGGCCTTCCCCAAACTATTCCCACAAAGTTGGAAGCATACAATTGTCCAAAATTTGTTGGCATGCTGAAGCATTATGATTTCCCTTCACTGGAACTAAGGGGCTTAGAATGAAAAACAACCCCATAACATTATCCCTCCTCCATCAAACTTTACACCTGGCACAACGCAGTTAGACAGATAACGTTCTCCTGGCATTCGCCAAACCCAGACTCATCCATCAGACTGCCAGATAGAGAAGTGTGATTCATTACTCCACAGAATATGTTTCCACTGCTCCAGTGGCGGCGTGCTTTACACCATTCCACCTGGCATTGTGCTTGGTGACTTAAGGCTTGCATGCAGCTGCTCAGCCATGAAAATCCATGCCATGAAGCTCCCAGCACACAGTTTTTACGCTGATGTAAATGTCAAAGGAGGTTTGGAACTCTTCAGTTATTGAGTCAGCAGAGCGTTGAAGACTTTTGTGCACTATGCACCTCAGCACTTGACAACCCTGCTCTGTAACTTTACATGGTCTGCCACTTTGTGGCTGCCAAATGCTTCAACTTTTCTAGAATACCCCTCACAGTTGATCGTGAAATATCTAGGAGGGAAAAAATGTCACAAACACACTTGTTGCAACAGTGGCATCCCACTCGGATTCAGTGAGCTCTTTAGAATGACACGTTCTGTCACAAATGTTTGTAAAGACACAAGCTTGATTTTATACACCTGTGGCATTTGAACTGATTGAAACACCTGAATTCAATGATTAAGAGGTGTCCCATTACTTTTGTCCATATAGTGTGCCCGGGGGTGGGGGGGTTGGGCCTTAAGATTGGCATCCAGCAAAGACACCCAAGAAGGACAACTGCAAACTACAATTCACAAAGAACATGTCTAAATACAGCTAAATAAGGTAAGGATGCACCAATATGGGAATTCTGGGTTGCAGTAAAATGTAGTAAATGGGATTAAATCTGCCAATTAGCGTTACTGGGTAATATAAAATTTATTTGTAGAGGGTTACAAATGCAGAAAAATTAATTAAATGCAGACATTAAGCACAGCAGCCCAGCATCGCCTGAACATTCTGCTCTTCCAGAATCAACAAATGTGTCATCCAATATTGGTTTGAAATATCACTCAAAACTAAGCACCTGCCCAATGCTGATAAAATTTATTATTTTTGGATGAAGGTATGATTCTAATATCATCATGCAGACAGGGATTTGTAGAAAAGGATAAGTATTCACTCAGGGGGGTGAATACTTGATCAAATTTACCATTTTAGTTTTAGAATTTTAATAATGTCATTATGGACATTTTCTCCTTCAAAGTCAGCCAGTTGTTGCGAGGTTGAATGTCTCTGAGAAGAAACAGGAATGTGGCCTTTTATGAATGAACTGAGGGGAAAAAAAAGGTGATTTAAATTGCAGGCAATTTCCAAGCTCTTTATGTAACAGGGAGCCGACTTGCTGGTGGTTTTATTTTGCCTAGAAGTCAGCTGACTTCGTATTTGTGTGTGTGAGATGGATGTATCTACCACGCGGCAAAATGGAAACCACAACAATGCAGGACAAAACAATGTCAACATGCCTGTCTACCACAAGCAGTCACGAGTGGAAATAAATACAAGCAAATGGCAGCGATGATTCAACTGACTGATTCAATGATTCAATTAAACAAAGCTGCATTTTGAAAGGCAAGAAGCTATGTACATTGAAGCCAAGCGATTCAGCATATATTCACCTGAACTAAAAGAAAATACTTAAATGGTGTTTTTTTTTAAAACAAACACCTGCAGGAATATTCCTTTGAAATGTAGGCAAAGACAGTTGACTGCAGTTCTAATGCTCACAATACTCTTGCAGCAATTCTTCAAAATTTGGTAAAACGTTTTAAATTCAGTATAATCTATTCCAGTCTGTGTGCAGTTTGAAAGTTGCATAGCTTAACACGAGCAGAAACATGCATGGCCAACTATGCAACTTCTTTAAATGTGCATGTACTCTATTCTTATCTACCTAGTGTTTACATCTGAAGTGAAAGTAACAATGCAGTACTGAATAGCATTCAAATAAATGTCACACCACTAAGCCAAGAGCTTAGCTGTGCAAGTCTTCTCTGATAACAGGGGCAGCAGCAAAGTGGAATCTGACGAGGTTCTACTTGATAAGGATAGCAGCGCAATAAGGATAAACACTACATGACCATCTGTTTTTTTGTCTACTTTTGATCCTTCCATAAACTCCATTCATTTCTGTTTTGCAAGAGCGACTGAGAGCGTCCAGCACCTCCTCAAACGGCACACAGAGAGGATCTCTATGACTGATTCAATTTACTAATTTACTGAGGTAAGCTTAAAAAACAAAACAAAAACCCTGTCCATTTCAAGACCCAATCAGTCTGAATCATCAAAATTCTTTTACCCACAAAACACAAAATCCACTATCAAGCACACCTGAAAACAGTTTAGATCCTCCAGCACATAAAAAAAAAGATTTAAAAGTCAATGTCTTTCTTTTTTATTGAGGCTCTTGTGTACTGACCCATCATCTATATATCACTGTGGGATGTACTTAATGTTCAAAGAGAATAAGACATATGCCAGCTTATTAACCTCTGCGTGGTGGAAATCCCCACAAATTCATCTCTCCTTTCAATTAACAATGATTTCATTCAGAGACGGAAAGCCATTCTGCTTCCCCAGCAATACTGTAAAAACACAAAAGCATCCAACGGACGCAATTCCTCAACAGCACTTGATCATCTTGCAGGGAGCACCACGTCATCTAGTCTGCACATTTAGCAAACAGTGCCAAGTCATATTTGATTTGTTTTGTTCATGTGTTTCATATTCCTTTTATGGTACAATCATGTAAAAAAAAAAAACAAAAAAAAAGTCATTAATCCAAAAGAAGGCCCAATCCTGATCATCCATCTGATATGTTATGACAGGAAGCATCTGAGAACAATGTGGTCTGAGGATTTGGGACGTGAGGAACTGAAGTAGTTTCTCAAGCTCAGTGAAGCACACATGCTCATCAGAGAGTGAAGGACAGTCTACAGTAGTAGGAGGTTGTGTGGTGGTGGGGAATTTCCGTTTTTCCCTAGTATTCATATAAAAGAAATGGAGAAAGCAAAGTAAATCTCTAGGTCAAGCTAATGGTCATAGGTTCATACGTAGATGCTCTGGCCTTTTGGACATGACTGGATATGCCTGTTGTTTAAACGGACCCATCGTGGAGCCTGCAGGTTGCCTGATGGGCAGCGGAGCGGTGACTTCAGCACTGGCTGCGATGTCCATCTGATCCATGGTGGACACCTCCATGGCCAGTTCTGTGGGAGACTGAAGAGAAGAAGCTCCAGGCATGGTCGGACCTCGTGGCCAGCAGTCCCCAGCAAATTTTACTGGACTAGAAGACAAGAGGCAGAAAAAAAGATATTGTCCACATCTTTAAATGGGATTTGGAGAGGCTTGATTTGAAACACTCCAAGACTTTGGTCTAAAACCTATTAAAACACACACTATTCATTGCAGACAGGTACATGTGGAATGCTGTAAGGGAAAACATTTTACATCAAACCTCTCTGAATGACTCTGTTTACATCTCAATGTGTATAATGTACACCTTTGGGGAATCAAGCATGTACACAAGTTTTTATTTTACTTCTGCAATTCATAAGATTTTGTCAAGAGTATTAAACCATTTCTGGATGACAACATTACTAGGTTGAGACAGTCGATTGAGTACAGCATAGTAAAAATCTGATTACCTCACAGGCGTTCTTGGGCTTCCTAAAAAGCGGCGAGGTGAACGAATTTTTGGCTCAAATGAGAACTTCTCCTTAACATTTTCCAACACAGATGGAGCTACATATGTAAAGCCCTAAAACATTTGAAAATAAGAATATATCAAGGGGATAGGAAATAGAATTGTGTTTATTAAAACTTTTGGACTAAATGCGTATGAAGAGAACACCAACTTACCAGGAAGACCTGATTGGCGCTTTCACTGAGTGTAGAGTCATCTGGACTATCGACAGGAGTCTGGCTGGTGAACTTGGAATCAAACTGGCTCACATCCTCAGCAGATTGCTAAGGAAACAAGAGCATAGTTCATGTAAATCACGTGTAACTCTTTCTTACTTAATCCCCTGTTTGTCAGCAGTGGAAAAAAAAAAAAAGAAGAAAAAGTGTGAAGACACTCACAAGGAAAGGCTTGAACGGTGGCTCTACTTTCCGCGCAAGCAGGTCGTCCCAGTTAATATGTCGGAAAAAGGGATGAGCCTAGGAAAAACAAGGGTGAAAATAACTGTTATTAAAAAATTACTTGTTCCATGCAGACTGAAATGTAACTAGACACCAGAATACAAACCAATAATTTATTCAAAATTTATAGAATTTAGAGAACAAGAAATTTAGACGTGACAATCAATAAAGTTATGACAAAATAAAATGTAACTATTTATAGTGTACACATTTCTTGACAAATTATTATTTGTAAATACTACTATTTGTATTAGAAATGGTATAAATAATTGTGACTTGGTCACTGGTTTTCAAAAGTGAGGCATTCTTGTTATTAACTTGCCTTTTTATTATGAAAAGCATTGATTTCAACATTTTTGAAAGGTAGGGTACGCATACAGAAATTTCATGTGAACTGACCTGCACCTCTGTTGCATCTCCAGGTCCAGCTCCAAGCCGAGATGAGGCACTTCTTTTCAGCAGCTGGATGCAATTGAAATATTTTTATGCATATAAAAGTTAGAAAATCTAGCAAGAGGTCTGCTGTACTGCTACACAAATATAGGAGTAATCAACTACCTTTTTGAGCAGGTCCCTGGCTTCTTGTGTGAGGTAGGGTGGGAGGTTCAGTTTGCATTTAAGAATTTTGTCAATGGTTTTCTTCCGGTTCTCTCCAGTAAAAGGTGGCTGCAAGGGTAAAACAGTATGTGTCTTATGTAGCAATAGTTCAAAAAGATATTCAGAAACAAACAGTGTTGGTGAACCAGTTATCTTTGCTCTTCTCAGCTCAATTTAACCTTGCGCTATGCCCAAGTTAGCTTGCTAACCCATAAATTCCTACTTGTACTATACTCTCATTAGGTAATGACCATGAAAACTATTGTGACCCATCTCACTGAATAAGTCAAACTGAAGAATTTGTACTTACTGCACCCGTTAGCATGTCATACATCAGGGCTCCAAGACTCCACCAATCAACAGCCCGGTTGTGTCCACTTCTCATCAAAATCTCTGGAGCCCTAAAAAAAAAATTCATTTATAATACAGAAAATGGTGGCAATTATACTGATAAAAGAACCTGAACAAAAGATTCAGAAATGTGAACGCCACAAAAAATGAAAAACTTATAATAAAATATCTTACATGTACTCAATAGTGCCACAGAAAGTGTGTGTGACAGTCCCATCATGAATGGATTCCTTACATAATCCAAAATCAGTCAACTTCACATGGCCTGTCCATGAAAGAGATAAGAAAAGTCAACCATAAAAACACACCGTTATCTTAATCAACTGCACTGAAACAAACAAACAGCAGGTGCATTTGTTACACTCTCTTTTACTAAACTCAGAGTTAATCCTAAGTCTACATGGTAGTGTTCCAACATGTGTTTCATGTCCTAATTAATGCATAATCCAGCCTTACCTTGGCTATTGAGCATGATGTTTTCAGGTTTGAGGTCTCTGTAGATGATGCCCTTCTGATGCAGGTGGCCAAGAGCCATGGAAATTTCTGCCAAGTAAAAGCTGCAAGTAAAAAGCCTCCAGGATCATTCTGATAATCTTATTCCATTTTACCCAATCAAAAGATCTTGATCTGTTCTAATCTTTCTATTTTTATGTATGACCAAAGTCTTTAGTATAACGTTGCACATTACTGGTCATTTTCTATGAAAAGGTTTTTCGTTATTAGTAATGGCCCAAACTGAAATATGGGACACACTGGGCTAAAACCAAAAAAAAAAAAGCTGACAAATAAAAAGTTTACATAAAATAAACACATTCACATTATCACAGTACACAGGCTACAATATGTGCCACGAAATCCAATGCTCTTGAGAACGGTTTGTTATCCAAGGCAACAAACTACATTACTTTTAGTCATACTTTGCATTTTGGCACCATCGTTTGATGGTACATTTTTTGCATCATTTCAAAAACAGATTTTGATTTTTGTTTTTTTTCTGCTTCTGTTTTGCTGTATTGTCTTTGCAAGTCCTATCACATCTGTACAGGAGAAGTTCTTGGGCATCATAGCCCCTCCTGATACTTGGCATGAACAATGATTACATTTGAATAACATTTGTTGCAGAAATCGTGAAATAGTTCCATGCAGTCAACATTTTCACTGTTTATCCACCTATTTAATCTTTCAGAGCATTTCTCCCCCTGCTCAAAATTTTCTACCACCTTTGTCTTTTGGACGAAAACCAAAACAGCCATTTTCCTATTTGATATCATACTGGTGAAAAAGAAAACAACAAAAAGTCCAACAATCTAAAAACTAAAATTTTGGAATGCTGTTTCAAATCCAGGTTAAACTTCATAAAGAATATAAAGCAATATCTAAGACAATGAAGAACATATCTATCCTTACCAAGCTGTATCTTCCATGAAAATGCCCTCCCTTTCCAGTTGCATGAAGAGTTCACCTCCTATAAATGACAAAACACAATTAGAAGCAGATCCTCAACATTTTACTTTTTGTTTTATAAAGTTTTTTATTTTTTTTTTTATTGAGCAAAATAAGTGTGGTGCAGTGCAGGTAAAATAAATTGGACCCAAACAAGTTCCCCAATAGCAAAGGCAAATGTAAATCACAAGTGTAGGATTCTACAGCAGTGGACTCAATAAAACCATTGTGGAGTCTAATCTACTGTATGTTGCATGAACCACAGCAATTCAAAGCATTTTAACGAGGCAGGATATATCTCCCAGCAACTCTATGGCAACGGCTAGAGAGTGACAAAAAATGAGGCACTAACTGTCTTTTTCAACAAAAGTGGAGCTTGATTCACTGACCACTTAGGTATTCAAGGATGAGATAAAGCTTGCCGCCAGTCTGAAAGGCATAGATAAGATCCACAATGAAAGGATGCTTCACTTCCTCCAAGATGTTGCGCTCAGCCTTGGTATGAGCTGTATCCTTAGCATTGCGGACAATCATAGCCTAGAAAAATAAATAAACAGACAGACAAATAAATAAATAAATAAATAAATAAGTAAACACAAACAAACACATGGCTAAGACAATCCACATAATTTAAAACATCAGCAAAAAAACTACTCATTAAATTCCAAAATATTTTATTTGCAAATATTAAAACCACTTAAATCAAATATTTTTGCTCAAACCTTTTTCAAAACTTTCATAGCAAATATTTTTCCCGATGCTGCACCGGTCACCTTCCGAACTTGGAAAACCTGGAAAAATTAGAGGTTCTGTCAAGTTTTAACAACGCTCCTTGCCGATGTATATACTGCAGAATTTGTATATGTATTTACAAGCAAATAAAAGCCCTCATTTATTTAAAAGTCTCGTTAATGCATAAGTTACCTTTCCATAGCCGCCTTTGCCCAAAACCCGCAACAGCTCAAAGCATTCAGGACGTATGCTCTCTGTGCCTTGGTTTACATTGTCCTCAGATATCTCAATCTTCTCACAGTCGTCCATATTACTGGGGGAGCAGAGATGTGTACACATGTAGAGATATTTAATTTCTAACTAAATTAAATATGAAGTTCATCTTAGGCGATCACATCACCTTTAATTTTACTCTAGATATATTCCATTTCAAAATAAAGCTACTTCTTTTTATACTGTAGTTTCACTTGTTTTTCTTTTTTTTACTTCTGTTTCTAACTCAATCCACTTAGTTGTATGTACATACAATTGCACATATAGCAATTGAACATTATGGGCCATACCTAAACTAATCAGACTGAAACAGGCTTAATATTAAAATAAAAACAAATAAACGAAAAAAAAAAAAGAATACTCACAATTCAAAGCCACTGCACTGGTCCATAAAGTCAGTGATCTGAGTCTACAGAAATAAAACAGCAGATTTATTATTCAACCACAGCCAATTAACAGATCTGCTCTCCCAGTATGGTTGGGAAACCTGAGAGCTGATCTTTCAATAGCAGCCCTGCAAGATGACAGCTAGCTAAATATGAAGGAGGTAAATTTGCTTGCAGCAGCAATTTATCCGTCTAATCTATACGAAACTACAGCGCCTCTAAAACTAACTGTAATATAGACATAGTATGTCGTAATCTAACTGGAGTCTTGCAGGGCAGGTAATGTTGGAGAAGGCTCCTCAGCCGCTTGTCAAATGTGACAACTTCAGGAAAGCGCAGCCCCAGAGCTGCTTAGTTACTGTACACAAGGTTTCAGGTTCCTGCAGAACAACTACGCAGAAGAATTCGCAGAATGCATAAAACAGCCAGGCAGCTGATCAGAATCAGGTTCTGGGAGAGCAGACAGGCAGCTGGCAAGATACAGCACGATACAGCACGGCATAGCTTCAACTAGCTAGCATGGACATAACACCACCTTCTCTCCCAAAATAATAAAGGGACTGCCGACGAAGGCAACTGTTCGAAATTATCCACATTCAAACTGCACATGTGTGACAGAAAAGGGAAAACGTAGCCTCTAATGAAAGCAAAATGAGTGAGGACCTGCAGAGGGCTCGCTAGCATAACATGCACAGTGTGTTTGGCTCCTCCAGGCCCGAGGACTCCGGCGAGGCCTGCTGGCAGGGCGTGGAGAAGAAGAACAAAGATAAGAGTTACTCACCTCCTCAAGTTCTTCGTCGGAGACATTCTCCTCCGGCTGGTCCAGATCGATATCGAAAACTCCGGCCATCGTTTATTTCGCTGCGTTAATCCACGCTAAGGGAGAGACGGAGAGAGAAGGCTGAGCTTCCCGCCTCATGGACATGAACACACCGTCGCCATGACCGGCTACGGCAGGAGCATGCGCAGTGCGGCCCGAGGAACATTACCACTATTATTTTATTATTATCGGGTTTTGTGGACAATACAGCAGAGCGAAAATAAAACAGAGAGAGAATACGAAATTAAAAGATAAACAAAAGAGAGGGGATGTGTGAGAGTGGCAAAAACTAAAAATCTGTCATGTTACATAATTATGCACAGAGTGGAGCAGACAGGGCTGAACACAGCTGAGAGGCGGTGACTGAATGTTCAACACACCGTCCTGAATCAGACTCGATCAGGCACATTTTAAAAACTGCTGGTGTCGTTTTTACTTCATTCACACTGTTCCTCACTGTTACTGGTTGGCAGTTTAACTGTCGTAATATTAAGTCCTTTCTGCGTTTTAAATGTGAACGGTTTTCCACAGAAAACTTGACTGCTGCAGTTATTTACTTACGGCCTTTGTGTTTGCCAAATGTCTAGCCATGTGGAAAATAAATATATGTAAAGTATATTGTAGACGGAGGGAGAGAGTAGCTATTATCACCCTACCAGAAAAACCAGCATAGACTAGCACAAACCAGCTTAGATCAGCATGGAATACATGCTGGTCTGGGCTGTTTTATACAGCAGGGCACTCAAACATGATATATGTAAATTGTGTTCATCAAATACTTTTACGAAAGAAAGAAAGAAAGAAAAAGAAATACATATATATGAAATGGCTTGTGTTGAAGTGTTTTATATCCTATTTTAATACTGATATCAGAATTTCTGATTGTTATCTGACTGTTTAGTTTGACCAGCCTTCAAACGAGCTTAATAACACTGATATAAACAACTGAGTTGCCACATTGATTTATCAGTCTACTCAGGCTCTAGCAAAAACTTCAGTGTTTGTGGTTTTAGTTCCTCTTTATAGTGCATCTAATGAGCTTGATTAGATGAACTAGATTAAAAGTATCAAAAATGTTAAAATTAAAAAGTTTATTTAACCATGTAAAAGATTACTCATAAATATGCTATAAATAAAAGTGGCATTGTGTATTTTACTGTGTTAAAGTATAATCAAACTCAAAATTAGTACTTCTTTTAATGAATATTCAAGAACTAATTGACTACAAGTAAAGTATACTTTACTTCTAGCACATTGACATGGTTTAAAGTATACATTATTTTAGGTGTACAGACGTGTTAAAGGGGACATGTGTCAAATTTTTTGCATAATTCCATCATTGCGATATAAACAAAGTTATTCAGAGTGGTTTGATGTGAAACGCTTCATTGTAGAGAAACTTACTGATTTCTTTACAGTGGTATTGATCGATAATATCTACAACACAAATATAGCCTTTTTATTTACTATCCAAAACCACCAGTGAACCTACACACGCCCTCTGAGTTTTATATGTAATTTTGATGATGGTAAAATAGTGGAAAATCCACTATTTTCTTTTGAGACTATTTTGCCTTACAACACCTGCATGTACAGCTCCACCATGAATGGATTAAAATTGGATTAACAAGACATTTTAGGTCAAAACTCTACCACAAAAGTATCATAAAACAATGTCTCAGACATCAGACAGCATATTTATAACTATTTTGTGTAATAATTATGTGAGGGAGCTTTTAGAGGCATTCACCTCTTCGGACGTCTGGTTCCTATAACCACCACTGTTTATAATTCTGATTCAGTGCTTTTCTCTAGAAAGGAGCATTATACACCAAACGACTCTGAATGACCTCGTTCGCATTTTAACATAATTTTAAATTATGTAGATTGTTTTTTTAATGGGTGGACTTCCCCTTTTAAAGTTACTATTCACAACCTCTAAAAATGAAGGTAGCCAAGATTTTTTGTCACATTTATAAGCACAACATGTGAAGTCCGCTGTGTCGATTTAAAGGCACTTTTAATCAATTTTCTATCTAATTTTATTAAAATGTCATGCTGTGTCTTTTATATCACACCACAGGCTCACCGACTTCACTGCACAGCCAGCGAATGAGGACACGTCGTATCCGGAGGAGGGAAACTGAAAAGCCCACTGAGAGAGTCAGCTCTTACTGCGGCTGCGATTCTGTGGAAAATCGGGTTTAAATGTGGCTGTTTGCGATGTTTTAGAAGCTTAAACAGTCTTTTTTCTGCGGTGCTCACTTCAGCCTTTTCATTCAGTTGTGAGAAACATACACGGTCGACAAAACAGCGCGTTAATTTGAGACGTTGAACGTCGACACCAGCAGGCTAAGCTAACGTTAGTTCACTCACTACAGCCGTGAGACCTGTTGAATCTGACATTAGCCAATCAGATATATAACCAGCTCTGCTCTGATAGTGGAGACGTTTGCTCAACACGTTTTCACGAGTGTCTAGAGTTACAGTAGTCTGTTCATTAACATAATAATCTGCCTCTCTATGTAGGTTTTCTGGTTGCTAGCTAGCTAACTGGACCCAGACATGTCCGTTGTGACAGTACAGCTGGGCCAGTGCGGGAATCAGATCGGCCCACAGCTCTTCAGCACTCTGTACGATGATTCCAGCGGAGCCAGCCCGAAAACATACAAGGAGTTCAGCCATGAGAGATTTTTCTGGGAGGATTCAGGAGGAAGTAGGTCAAATAAATATAACCTTACAATATAATAGTATACGGAGCCCCTAACGTGACATTGCGATTATGATTTAATAAGGCGTGGCCACACATCACTATATTGAGGCCACGAGTTACGAGAAACTTAGTAATTTAAGTTAATTTAATATAGTATTTTGGGGCCACATCTTATTAAAAATATTAAAATATTTACCATGTTACCTTAGGGGGCTCTTTAATAGTAATAAAATATATAATAGTAATAAAAATAAGTGTGTGTGTAATATATGTATATATATATACATGTATATGTGTGTATGTATGTATGTTGTGGTTCATAGTGTTGTGATTCACCTCTAGTGCTGGTGGCGCGGTCTGTTCTGGTTGATATGGAGCCTAAAGTTATTTCTCAAGCCATAACAAAGGCTTCAAAATCTGGAAAGTGGAGATACTGGGAGAAAGCACACTTCTGCCAAAAACAAGGCTCTGGAAACAACTGGGCAAATGGGTAGGAAGACACTGTCTCTGGATGCATTTCACATTATTTGAAATTCAGTACAAATAAACTCAAACAGTGAAACTGCAGTGTATTCCAGACCAAATTAAATACTCATAAAATGTGTGTCTTCACAAATTGGCATTAAGCAATTATGTAGTACAGTGAAATCATCCTAACCGGATCTGTGCTGCTGTCTTTAGTACTTATTAAATATATACATTTTATATATATGAAATGTTATAACTAATGCATAAACTTGTGTTAGCTACCAGAAAAACACTAGTTATCTTAGAGGTGACGCAAAATCACTTTTTACTTTTTCAGTACAAATATTGAAACTTTTCAGTATTGGCAAAAAGTTGGTCTGTTTTTTGTTTTTTTTTACTAAGCTTTGAAAAGAGCTATTTTATGTAAAGCACTAAGATGAACATCTAAAAGTAGTTTGTCATACTCAAACACTACCACCTTACAGCTAACAATTTGAATGAGTGCTATTTCAGACCAGATTTGTCACAGGATTGAATCAAATTTATTATTTTTCTCCCCTCTAATATCCCATCCAGCATTTTCTGCTGATACTGAATATGCCATCTTTATCTTAGAGATAAAATACTCATTGTATGATATGTTATTATATGTGCTTCTCTGTAGATACTGTGTTCATGGCCCTCGCCATGAGGAAGCTGTGGAGGATCTGGTCCGGAGGGAGGTGGAACGCTGTGATCGCCTTTCAGGAATCTTTGCCATGATGAGTGTTGCAGGGGGTACAGGTTCCGGAGTTGGGACCTTCATCACACAGTGTCTGCGAGACATGTATCCCCATTCTTTTATTCTCAATCACCTGACGTGGCCCTATGGAACAGGAGAGGTAATTGTTTCTCTCATAAGAGTGCAGTAGACGTCAGTGAGACATCAATGCGCTCATGTATAAATTTTCTTTCTGCTCTCTTTGAAGGTGATCGTGCAGAACTATAATACGGTGCTCACGCTGTCGCGTCTCTACCAGCTGTCCGATGCCATTGTGGTTCATGAGAATGACACTGTTCACAAAATCTGCAGCCAGCTAATGAACATCAAGCAAATCTCTATCGATGATATTAATAAGGTGATCGCTCACCAGCTGGGTAGCATGCTGCAGCCTGCGTACACTGCAGACTCACCCACCCACTACAGCAGAAACCCTATAGGTAGTACAGTTGTACTCTAGTGTACATGCTGTGTCTTTAATTCCATAAAGAAGTGCAATGTCTTTTGGACGTTTCAGTAGGATTTACTATGATGCCTCTCCTCTGTCCAGGTGAATTATTGAGCTCCCTGGTGTGTCATCCTGAGTACAAACTGCTAAGCCTGTGCAACATCCCTCAAATGTCTCATACCTCACTGGCTTACAGTGCCTATACTTGGCCTGGATTGCTTAAGCATTTAAGACAAATGCTTATTGCCAGTGCCAGGATGGAGGAAGGTGTGTGTTTAAAATTTTACTCATTAGGAATGACGTGACCGTAACGACAGTTATCGTAAGTAGTAAATATAACTGTAAAAATGATGTCACGTTTACTTGAATACACATGCATTGAAATTTGTCTATCATTGGGCATTTCTAGGTTGGAACGTTTAAATGCTGTCTCTTACAGGTATCGATTGGAAAGTGTCTGTGCCGTCATCTGGAGGGGAGAGCACTCGAAATAGACAGATGGGTTTTAACAGATCACTATCCAATCTTCTGATACTGCGGGGTAAAGATGTCTCCAGTGCTGATACAGGCAAGTAGGCTTACTTGTATTTGGCTTTCATTCTGTTTTAAAGATTTCAGTTTTTGACCAGTGTGTAAATTAGGGTTCATGTGTGCTACGTAAATGCACCCTAAATAAACAAGAATTGTTTTGATCAACAGATGGTTTTAAGGACCCTGCCCTTTATGTCCCATGGGTCCCACCAGATGGCACCTTCAGCTCATGGACCTCACCTGTGCCTTTTAATGGCTATGAGAAGTCTGCCACTTTAGTCAGCAATAGCCAGTTCCTGTTGAAGCCTCTGGATAATATCGTTAGGAAGGCTTGGAACATGTTTGTGTCTAGGTGAGGATAAGAATACAACCAAATGGTGCATATGTAATATGTACAATGTTTTTATTTTGCTATCAGGTTATTAACTGTGTATTTTTTTTTTTCTTCACAGGGCTTACGTTCATCAGTATACCAAATTCAGAATTTCGGAAGAAGATTTTCTTGACAGCTTTAGCATGTTGGAACAGATCATTTCAAGCTACACACACCTTTGAATCTACCTCATTGTCTCATTTTTTTTCAGTTTAGGAACTATGAATATCAGTTTTCTACTGTAAATTGTGAAATTTTGGTGAAGTAATTTATACTATTAAAATAATATTCTTTTCTAACATATGTGTACATTTTCATTTTAAAAAATACCTTAAAATGAAAAAAAGGCAGAAGGGAACATGTTTGGTCAGTGTGTACAAATGTGTATATACACCAGTACTTATACTCACATATTCTGTACTGCTCATCTTTAAATCACTAAGAATGCAGTCTTTTGGATTTGGTGGTTTACAAAGCAAGTTCACCTCCATTTAACCAAACAAATGTGTGTTCAAGAAATGGCTTGTTTTCTACAAATTAGAACTGCAAATCAGCTTTATTTCTAATATACACAGACAATTACTCATTTGTATACTGACAACATACAATTTTAAAATGCTAACAGGAGGTGGTGTTGTCTCATGATACAAGTACATGTATACAATCTATGAATAGGTGGCTAATAACCTGACATTTCCAGTCAATTAAACTCTCAGCTTTCTATATGCAGATTATGTCTAGACTTTGACTAGATTGCAATGCCTATAGTGCTTCACTACTGAAAATTCTTTTTAGTTTAGTATTAGACCTAATCGAGGTCTGGGCAACTGGCCCCATATGTATTTTCATCCAATATTGCAGGCTAGTAGTTTGTCTAAAAAAGAAAATAAAATCTGCAGAATGGTAATTCTGGTTTTTCTTCAGAAGCTAAAATCATCTTAAAGCTTGCTATGATTTTGGGAAACCTCTTGGGTTCTGTCCAAACGTAGCTGTGTAGACATATTGGAACATGCTGAAAAAAAGGAGTTATTCAACCGTTTGATGAGTTACTGTCAACCAACTTATGAAAAACAAAGCAGATATTCACATCCTGTGAGATGACTAATCCAAAATTTCAGTCAGCCTATAGACTGTTGTCGCCTTTTGACTTCAGAGCCAACACCAGTCTGATAAGCTATCTGACATGATGGAATAGTGAGGAACAGAGCAGCTAGTAAAACCAGCCTGAACAATGAATTATGCAAAGCAGTTTCATTTCCTTAACCCCTCCTGGGAAATTAAAACCTGTTCTTTTTGCTGATGTGCTTTTGTAGCAATGTCAACTTACAAAAACTTACACAAGAGATTTAATAGTATGCACTAAAATCAAAAATGAGAAAAGCACCAAAACTTCATTTATTCATTAAATCCTCCAGTTTCAAACACAAAGGTTTTTCTCAGCTACTTATATTTTATACTTAACACTTACCTCTCTGCTGGACATGCTCAGGTACATAGTCTTCAAGCTCAGACTTGAGAAAGGATTTAAAGTCCATGACAGATGCACAATATATATAAAAGTGAGCTCATGGCACGTATAACATTGATGGATTAATCCAATTTAATGTCAAACAGTAATAAGTCACCAATAGCTATTAAAAAGCTAAGACTTTCAGCTACACAAAACAAAATTCAGACAAAATCCAGAATGATTGAGGCAGCTTATGGAGTTAAACGTCTATATGCACAGTATATGAGGCAAGGCTAGTTTTACAGTTTACCAGCTTCAAATAATGGTTTGTTTTGTAATATTTAGATACGAGACCTCTTCAGACTTGAATAAATGTATTCACATCTATGTTAAGACAAAATTATTTACACAATGTGAAAACTATTAAGAAATCACACTTAAGTTTCGATATTGCTATCTTTGTGTAACAAATAAAAAAAAATGACATCAGATTTGTGTTTAAAAAAGAAAAAAAAACTCCCTGAAAACGTACATTGCATCAGCACTTTCAACATACAGCTCACAAAGAAAACCGACCCTGACCAGCCATACTGTCACCTAAAAATTAAATAAATCAATCATTCTAGTGATTAGAACTGTATTCACTTCAATGGAAGCATGACCCTGCAATGTTGCATAAGGCATTGCAACAAGTATTAACTGCTCACAGTCTTTGCTCAACTGCTTTGTCTCTGTAGAGATAAAAATCACACAGTTATTACATCTGATTTTAATAGTCAAACGCTACAGACAATGAAGAGAAAAAAAAAGATCCAACATAATCGTACAGACAGAAGCACAAATAAATTAGTGCCCATTCAGCCATTATAGGTTAAATGTTTCTTAGCTTCCAAAATGGGAGCCTGAGATGGTTTACTGTGAGTTATGAGTTATATCACTTGGTTTTCTCCTCAGAGTACTTCCTCTGCTGCAGCCGCTTGGCATAGCTCTGTGCCATGGAGTTTATGATAGACAGAATGAAATAGCAGACCATGACAAGCACCACTTTCTCAAAAATCCAGGAAAGCCAGTTCTCTCCCTGCACAGAAGAAGCAAGAACAGTTTTACTACATAAATTAGAATCTTCTTGCGAAAGGCATTCATTATTGTACTGATCTGAGATCTCACACACACAAAATAAATACTGGAAAATTCCCATTAAATAATACTCATTATTCCTAATAATGGTAAGCAGGAGCAGAAACGATATTTATAATTATTAATAATAATAGTAACTTGTTAACTGTTTAAATTGTACAAAGTAAGAAACGATAGTAAGAACCGAGAATCCAAGAGTCAACAGAACTGCTGAAAAAAAAGAGACATCCACTTTCAACCCCCCTCTTTTTCTCTACTTCCTTCTTCCTCTCATTGGACACAGTGACCCATAAAAAACTGAAATTCATCTAAAAAGTACACGTAAACCTAGATTTTAAAGTCATAGTTAGCTTGCTGATGAGAGGACCTGTGAAAAATAAAACATTAAGAACTAATATGCCATTTTGTCTTAGTGCCTTGACCGAGTTTCAACATTTCCCTTAAGTCCTGTCCTGCTGCCACAAGAAACCGAAAACATTACATGCCAACCCACATTTAAAACCTGTTACCACAAAGACCTTCCTGAATAGCTGACAGACAAAGCAGGAAACTAATGTCTGGTTCTTACCGCAGGTGTCCCATCTCCAACCGGGTTGTGAAGCTTAGTCCTCTGGGCTTCCAGATATTCACGGAAAGGCTTTTGCAAGGAAGCTCCAACTCCTGGTATGACACTGTGAATGTACCGAAACAGACTACATTAGGCCAATAATGACTTACCAAGATATGAAGCTGTAGGCAGTCCCTTTAGATGGCCGTAATGCTAAGTGAGTGCACCAGCTGAGGTGCCACAGCACACTGGAGAAAGAGATCTTTGAACCCTGACTTATATTGCTGAGCTTCCTGTTGGAACTAGTCTGAAGCTATTAATCAGGAAGTGAGTCGATATTGTGTCATCAGTACCATGTAAGAAGAACCGCCCAGGTTTGAAGGAGTGTCTGCCAGTGACACACATCTAATGAACAATGCAGCAGCACATCTAAAGGCTTATAAAAGCCTTAAATCTTGTTTCAGATTTTTAAGACAAACTAACGTAACACTGCACTACAAATGAAACACATTAATTTCTGATGACTTGGTTACAACTAGATAATACAAAATGTTATTTGTTTATTAGTGAATTACAAATGTTTGTATTAAAAGGGCAAGTAATAAATTTGCTGTTATTTATTGAAGAAGTGAAATAATTATTTGAGCGATCTTACATTTGAAAATGAGGAAAATCTGACACCGTCTGATGATCTTTCTCATGAAATAGGAACTTTAAATTTAAACCTATTTATATATAAAATATAAATTAAAAGTACATTTTTATAAAAAACAGATAGACTCATGGGCATGACACGAGTCATCCAAGCCCACACCACTGTGAGAACTAAAGACTGGCGGTTAAGAACCCAACCCATTACCATTCTCCATATCAAACGGAGGCTCTTTCAGTGTTCTCGCCACTTTTCCTTTCATCAAATTTAGTCACCACATTCCACCATTATATCAGTGAATTTTATCATGAAAGACGTGTGGTTCCAATTATGAAGGAAAAAGAATTTCCAATTCAGCCTCTGAGAAGTGCAAGAGGGGCACCCTACCTCTAATTTTAACTCACTGTGGTTGATCATAGAGGTGCCATCTACATCTTGCTAACCCAACAGCAATCTCCTTAAATGGCATTTCTTTCAGTCGGCTAAAAGCCAGACAGCATTACACACAAAGCTATTAACAAAACTGCTATAAAGCAAAAGCTCAAAGCTCTTCAGTTGATGATTCAGACAAGACGGCTTAAAGAATCTGACCACTGCCGTGAGAAACTGAATTGCATGCGAAAGCAGACACTCAAAATGAAAGAAACATACACAACATTAGGAGAGCAGTGAACTGGGCTAAATGCCTCCAAGTTCCACAACATATAGATCTGGTAAATTACTAGATGTGGTCCAAACAACAAAAATGATCTCAAAAGAACCATTCCTTGATTTGATTCATAAATACTAAACCTATTCTTTAACCAACATTAAAAAAAAAAAAAAATCTTGTAGCTTAAAGTTTAAACACACTATTTTAGTTCTTAGCTGTATGGCATTCCGTGTCTAAACTATGAAGTAGCGAGTGCAGTTTAATACCGTCTACAAATGTGCAGTACTGAGCGCAAGTCAGAGACTACTCTTCATTTACTGAATTTACAGTAAAAGCAGCAATTAAGTGCGTTATTTTTTTAGCATGAAAAAAGTAGAAAAAATGTAACAGAAAATTACAGATATAATATATATATATATATATATATATATATATATATATATATATATATAAATTTCTTTCATATTTCTGTCCACGCTTTGGATCATTTAGAATGATTATTATATGCTAAAGTAGTTACATTGTGCTTTAACCCACTTAATCAACAGGTTATTTATTACATTATTTGATCAAATTGGGCACAATGCTTGGCCAAATGCAAAAAAGGACATACTCTTTAAGAACACGTGCAGTCTATATATCATTCTTTGGCCACTGCAATATTGATGCAGGTAAAATAATCTGATGTGTTTTTAACAACAACTTTGTTTTGAATACTTTTCATATGCTATTTTTGGTCTTGTGTTCATACTCTGTCATTTAGAAACTCCAGCACAGCCAGAAATCATGGGTTCTCCCTATTTTCTTCATAAACACATGGCTCTATTACTCACCCAATCAGAGAAACCATCTGCTCCACTATG